TAAACGCGTTAAGAACTGAGAGCCAATTTAGGCCGTGAGATCAGTTTCGGACTCCCTTTGCGCCACGCACCGGCGCCCCTCGCTTTCCCATGTGAAAAAAACGGCGCTGCGCGCACGCGGCCGGAATCCTTCTGCACCCCCCCCCCAAAAAAAAAACCACACAAGACCCGAATCCATGATCAAGTCGCGCACCACTGCGCCGACACGCACCGCCTCCGCGATGCGCGCGCGCGCTCCGCCGCCAGCCCGAGAGGCACCCGACGCGGGGCCCGCCCCAGCTCAGCCGCTGCCTCCGCCGCGCCACCAGCAGAGTCGGCTGCCCCGACTGCCGCCGGGCGTTCGCGAGCCATGGCGGCGTGAACCAGGGGGCAGCGCTTTGCCAGGGTTGCGCGAGCAGCCTACCCAGAGCCCAAGTGGATACGGGCGCAAGAGAGGAGGGGGCGCAGTGTCTCATCGCCCCCCAGCAACGCGCGAAGCCGCGCAGCACATCGCCAATGCGTCGGCAACCTGCTGCGGGAAGCTACCCAGTGGTCGCTTCGATCCCATGCCGGATCGCCACTGCATCGGGTTGAGGCGCTGCGTAAGATGCATCGCACTGACGTCCTCGACGCGCTGAGTTATGCGTGCAATTGGTCATGGGTGGGCGGGGTACGCCCAGCGGGCTTCGAGTCGAGTCTGGTGGACCTGAAACCCTCGAGCCCTGACCCCCTGAGCCCTTAAACCCTTGCACCTTTTAAACCCGGAGCCCTTAAACACTTAAACCGTTGATCACACAGGCCATCCAAACCTTGAAACCCTTGAGCCCCTCAACCCGTAAACCATTAAACCATTGAGCCCCTGATACCTTGAACCCTGAAGCCCGCGCAACCTTGAACTTTGAACAGTTCAACCCTTAGACTCGAATGCCCTTGGGCCCATCAAGCTATAAACGAGTCCTTAAACATTTTTCATGTAGCGTCCCAAAACAAACCGCGCCCAAGGCGCCTGGGGTTTGCAATGTATATGTTGTTCTAAACGAGGTCATTTTCAACAACTCGCACAACCATCCACATCCACATATATGTCTCCACAGCATCACAAACCATGGTGGCACATATTCACATTCCAACCGGCACAGCCGCGCCAGCTTCTGCAGCAAATGCGCACACATAACGAAACTACTGCGTTTAGGATGCACTAACATCGCCTCACACCTTTAATCATATAGCGAGGCAAACGGTGAATTGGAATTCTACAAATGCGTCTTGTCGTTCTTGTAGAAACAGACCCGCTGGTTGCGATTAGTCCGAGATGCGAGCGCCCCCCCCCTCCCCGAGATTCGGTCTCTTTACAATCCGAACGACAATTTACAACCGAGATATGTCACTTCACAACCAGCGAAGGGTCGAATTCCCTGGTCTTCCTTTGAGAACAATCACTTCACAACCAGAACAACCACTTTACAACCCAAACGAGGCTCTTTGCACCCAGAACGGCCACTTTACGACCAGCCTACAGAAGCGCGCGCGCGCTTTGCAGGGGGTTCTGGGCATTTTCTGCGCGCCTGAACGCTCTGCAGACGCCTCTGAGCGCTTGAGCGTTTTGCACAGGTTTCTGGCGCCTGAGCGCTTTGCACAGGCATCTGAGCACCTGAGCGCTCTTCAGAGTCTCCTGAGCGCCTGAGAATTCTGCAGAGAACTCTGAGCGCTTGAGCGCTCTGCAGAAGCTTCGCTCTGCACAAGTCTGTGAGCGCCGGAGCACTTTGCTGAGGCTTCTGAACGCCTGAGCGCTCCGCAGAGGTTTCTGAGCGCCTGAGCGCTCTGCAGAAGCTTCTGAGGGCCTGGGCGCTTTGCAGAGGTTTCTGAACGCCCGGGCGCATTGCAGAGGCGCCCGAGCGCCTGAGCGCTCTGCGAGATTCTGCAAGCTGCTTGCGATGTCAACAAAATACATATTGAAATCCGCATGCGTTGGCTATCATTAAACAAACGATGTCTGGGGCACTTTCTGCCCTCCTGGGTACGCATGCTTCCGCAATTGCGCAAACATGAAGTTCTGCGATTGCCAGACGATGGGGCGCGATGACAAACATGGCCCATGATGCAACAAAAACACCATTCGGAAACCCAAACGCGTTGGCAAGAATTTGCAGACATCAGCCCTCCTGGGTACGCCTGCTTCCGCGAATGCGACACCATTCGGTTTTGCTATTGCCAGACGATGAAGCGCGAGGACGGAAACTGTCTGCGAGGCCAAAAACCACACATTGGCATCCACACGTAGAGGCTCGAATGTTACCATCGACTCCCTGGCCACATTGCCGCCCTCCTGGGCACGCATGCTCGCGAATTGAAAAACAACAACAACAACAACAAAAAAAAAACGTACCGTTTTCGTGATTGTCAGACGCTGAGGCGCGAGGACAAGCATGGCTTCTGACACCAAATAAACCCTATTTGAAAGCCATACGTGTTGGCTGGGATATTACCAGCGATTTCGTGTCCAGATGTCCGCCGTCCTGGGTGCGCATGCGACAGCGAATGCGAAACCCTACGGTTTTGCGACTGCCAGACGATGAGGCGCGAGGACAACATTTGTCTGCGAGGCCAAACACACGAATTGAAGTCCACATGTATCGGTAGACCATTACCATCGGTTTCTTGGCACAACTCCCGCCCTCCTAGGTACGCATGCTTCCGCAATGATGAAAAGCAGAATGTGTCTTGCTATTGCCAAACGATGAGGCGCGATGACAAGCATAGCTTCTGATGCATAAAAAACCGTGTGAACTCCAAAGGAACTGGCTAGAAATGGGCCAACGATTTCTTGGCAACATTTCCGCTTCCATGGGTGCGCATGTTTCCGCATGGGAGCGGCTGCTTCTCGGGGAGGGGCCGGGGATCCAGAGCCCTGTCCTCCTCGGGGCCCGCAGCCCTGCGAGGGGGAGGGGAGGAGGAGGGAGGAGGAGGAGGAGGAGGAAAGGCGGAGGCGGAGGAAGAGGAGGAGGACGAGGAAGAGGACGACGACGACGTCGACGAGGACGACGATTGCGTCGTTGCCACGTATTGGCCAAAAAATTGTACCAACGACTTCTTGGCCGCAGTTCCGCCCTCCTTGGGGCGCGCGCGTTCGTCTGCCTCTCTTGCAGCGAACGCTTCCGTTTCCTTTATTTCCAGTAGCGGGAGGATCTGTACTGAATCCCAAGTGGGTTCCAATAGCTCCTCCTGGATACCACAAGGATTACAGTAGGACGCCATCGGGGCACAATATGAATCAAAGAGGACAGGTTGTTGTTGAGTTACATTTGGGTCCTGGTGGGATCCCAATGATATGCCCGTATGGATGAAAAAGGAAGGACTCTGATCGGATTCCAATGCCATATCCTTCGTATTCGCCAATATGGCTTTGACGAGACTCCAAGAAAGACGACTCCTATTGTCTTCGAATGAGAACCCACAAGAATACCCACCAGGTTGCCATGATAGCACCCCCAGTGCGCGTCCCGCAGCATTTCAATAGAAAGGTTTTTCGATTGTAACCTAACGGGTTTCCAATATGTTGTCATTAGGAAGGGCCCCAACGGGTTTCAATAGGAAGCATCCTTATCATATTCCAAGAGGACACCTGTAGGCCCCATATCGAGGAATCTTGTTGGATACCAGTGGGACTACAATTGGATTCCTGTTGGATCCCACTAGGGTCACTTTACAACCACCACGGTTAAAAGAGCCAAGAGTCTCCCTTACGTGGACCCACCGGGTTCGGAAATTGAAGAACATGTGTCGCTTATGTGTGTGTGCGTGTGTGTGTGTTTACTCGCCTGGTTGTAAAGTGGCCTTCCTGGTTGTAAAATGCCCTTCCGCGAAAACCAATTCTGGTTGTAAAGTGCCCCAACTGGCTGTAAAGTGGCCGCAGTGTGACCCACACGCCCCCCCTCCCCTCCCAGGCCCCCCCGTTTGGACAGAGGGACAGGGGGAGAGGTCCCCCATGCCCCCGCCGGCTCCCATCCCCGGCACCCTCTGGAGCCTGTGGACAGGGGGGGGCATGGGGGTGGGGTCCCCCTGCCCACCCCCACTCCCCTCCCCGGTCCCCCCTGTCAACAGAAGGGGCAGGGGGGGGGCCCCCTTCCCCCCCTTTTCTCCTCCCTGGCCCAGGGGGGACTCGAGACACACCCCGCCTCGCCCTTGGACAAGGAGACAACCCCCTCCAGGGGGGTCGCCAGCAGGGGGTCCCAGGGGAGGTCCTGTCTTCAGGGCCAGCGGTGACGGCCACAAGGCCTTCACAATCGCCCACAAGGGGCTCGCGGCGTCTTCCCCGAAAGTTGCCAACCAGCTGCTGGCCAGCTGCCCGGCACCTGCTCCTTTGTCGATTAGGAGGCATCTTGGACGTTCGCGGGTGACTCGTGACGAAGGTCTCGAGCGCCAGGCTCGTTTGGGGCGCAGTCTAACGATATCCCACACGAGAACCTAGATTTTCGATCTGAATTGAATCACAAGACAACCCCAGTCCCAGGACCACCTGAGGACCTTGCTCAGGAGACTTCGGGCGACCATACGATCGAAGAACCCAAATGCATCCCAGACTGAGACCGGAAAGTGTTGCAAGGTTCGCCCCATGTCCTTGCGATTGCGGAATTAGCGAGGATCACCTTGCTGCTGCAGGACCGAGAAGGTGAACCGAGGAGGCGGATGCCAATCGAATGCCGAGGAGACAGAAGGACCGACGAGAAGGAGCATCGATGAGGAGGACGCATCATAGCTTTACCGCTCCATGGTCCATCAGCTCGTTCAATACTAAGGCCCTTCACTGGGAACACTGCGCTCATGCTGCAAGACATGGACGTCCCGATCATTCCGATCCGACCCGATCCGTCAACTCGCCATCGCTCGGACGTCCATTCCCTGTGTTTTTGTGTCGGTTTCGTGCGTGATTTTTTCGCCAAATTATCAAGGATTCTCTTCGATGGTCTTCGCCGAAGGCAAAATGCACACGTCCGAGCGATGCCAAGTCCAGGGGGGCGCGGCCACGTGGAAGTACACGTTGGCGCCGCTGGAGATGCCGCCGAGCGTGCCGCCGGCGTGATTGGTCTTCGTCCTCAGACAGACGGCTCCTCCGCGCGCGCACACCGAGACTCTGACGAAAGACGGGCGGCGACCGAGGGCTGGCCCATTTGAGGGGGCGGAGGAAAAGGAACAGGACAGGACAGGCGCCGATGGCAGCAAGGACTTCCCAATGCAAACACAATACGCGTATACATAATATGGATGGATTTCCCAGACAATGATTGCATTCAGGGTCTCTTTTGTCTTCTACGGAATTTGATGTGCCGCCCCGTTGCCGCCGGCGCCGCCCCGTCGCCGCCTCGTCGCCGCCCGTCGTCTGGGTTGGTTCGTCGGGTCCGCCGCCCTGGTGCCGCCGTCGCGGCCCCGTCGCCGCCTCGTCGCCGCCCGTCGTCCTGGCTCGTTTTTCGGGTCCGCCGCCCCGTTGCCGCCGTCGCCGCCCCGTCGCCGCCTCGTCGCCGCAACAACGCCGAGGGTCGCGTCGGGGGATCCCGCGCAGCGAACGGCGCGACGCCATGTGGCTGTCTCTCGGCGCCGCGCTGGAGACACCCGCAGACTCCAGCTCGCGGGAAAGTCGCGGAGGCCCCCTCCACAAGGGGGAAATGGATCGTGATGCTGGCGTCGCTTCTCCGTGCCTAGATTCTGCCCATGCAAGCACGAGGTCTGGATACGGGAACAAAGTCGGGTACCCATATCTCGAATGTCTCTAAAAACGGCTGGGTCCGGAGGATGTATCGGTGCCGCGGCCATTGTGGAGCGCTGGGAACGATATGGCTGTGATCCAAAACTCTCTGGGGCGTGATATTCGTATCCCAAGGCTGCCTGACGAATCCTGACCCCAGGCGCCATGACTTTGTTTTCGCGACGTGGACGCTCTAGACATCATCCCTGGGAAATGTTCGATCGTGCATGGTTCGCTGAAAGTCCTGTCGCCCAAAGCGGGTCTCCAAAGGTCAAAACTTCCCACGCATATGCATTTAGAGACATAGACATTCATACATGCATGTACGTGCAAATTCGCCGACCCTGCCGGCGTATGTGAGACGTTTTTCCGTTTGTGTCGTCGTCGTCGCCGTCGTCGCTCCCCCATTTTCCTGACAGAGCTCACACCACGTCGTAATGGATTCGAACAAGCCCCTTCTTTTCGATCTCTTCCCCGGCGGGGGGGCAAGGGTTCAGGTCCCCCCATGGACACCCATGGACATGGGGGACAGTGGGGAAGTCCACTTGTGGACAGGAGAACTCAAGACCCCTCCCCCCCGCCTCCCACCCCTGGACAAGTAGACCAACACCACCACCACGACCACCACCACCACAACCCCTCCTCCCGACCCCACCACCCATCCAGGGCACGTACACAACTCACTCTTACCTGCAATTGCGGGATGCTGCGTATTTCCCCACATGCCTCCAACCCTTCAGTTCCGCTACGAGGCGGCCCCAAATGGCCATCAGAGCTTCCCAAACAGTCCCCAAAAGGCCCCCCCAACAGAGCCCGATGGGCTCCCAAGCGAGCCCAAGAAATACTCCAGGGCGTCGCCGTCGCCGTCATCGTCGCCGCCGCCGCTGGCGTCGTGGTCCCCTTTCAGGGTCGGCGGCACTGGCAGAAAGGAATTCCCTATGCAAACACAATACGCGTATACATAATATGGATAGAATTCCCAGACAATGATTGCATTCAGGGTTTCTTTTGTCTTCTACGGAATTTGATGTGCCGCCCTGTTGCCGCCGGCGCCGCCCCGTCGCCGCCTCGTCGCCGCCCGTCGTCTGGGTTGGTTCGTCAGGTCCGCCGCCCTGGTGCCGCCGTCGTGGCCCCGTCGCCGCCTCGTCGCCGCAACAACGACTGCACATCACAGATTCTCCTTATGTATATATATATATAGATATATAAATGACTCTACCCCCCCTGGCGTTATCGGTCCCCCATTTCGGGTGTGTCAATCACATATGACTATGACCACATGTCCATTTTAACTTTGAAATCACAATGTCCCAGGCCAACCGGTATCCTCCCCTGAAGGTCCCTTTAAAAACACTATGCGGTGACATTTTTGGTTATAACATGACATTGTCCACGAACCCCTTGCAAAATAATGGGACGAAGTGCGCACGCGCGCGTCGTCGCGCGCGAAGGCCGAAATCCTTCAAAAACCTTCGGTGCCAGAAAGATTTCGCAATCGAGTTTCCCCCCCAAAAAAACATACAAAAACACAAGGTTTCGCAACACTGATATGCTAAAAGAAAATTCCGCGCGAGCTCTTGCGAAATCTAGATATATATAATATATATATATATATATATATATAATTTATTTTGTATTTTTTTGTTTCAACAAAAAAATCTTCACTAACTGCTAGTAAGCGGGCTTCGCGCGCACGCATGTCGAAATCTGTCGAACGCCCTTGCGCGTGCCGTCGCGACAATCCTCTGCAAAAAATGGGGACAAGGTGCACACGTGCGCGTCGTCGCGCGCGTATGCAAAAATCCTCCAAAACCCATCGGTTTCGGAAGGATTTCAAAATCGTGTCCAAAAAACCTACAACAACCAAAGGTTTCGCAACACCGATTTTCAACAAAATCGTGCGCGCGCGCTCTTGCGTCGTCGGCATTTTCCTTCCTCCCTCGTCGTTGTCGTCGTCGGCGCCGCCGTCCTTCCTTCTTCTTCGTCGTTCGCGTCGTCGCCGTCCTCCCTCCTCCCTCGTCGTTGTCGTCGTTGTCGTCGTTGTCGTCGTCGTCGTCCTCCTTCCTCCCTCGTCGTCGTCTTCGTTGGCGACGTCGTTGTCGTCGTCGTCATCGTCGTTGTCTTCGTCGTCGTCGTCGGCGTCGTCGTCGTCGGCGTCGTCGTCGTCGGTGTCGTCGTCGTCGTTGTCATCGTTGTCGTCGTCGGCGTCGTCGGCGTCGTCGGTGTCGTCGTCGTCGTGGTCGCTGTCGTCGTCGAAGTCGTTGGACACGTCGTCGATGTCGTCGTCGTCGTCGTCGGTGTCGGCGGCGCCGTCGTCGTCGTTGCCGCTGTCGTCGTCGGCGTCGGTGTCGTGGCCAAGTGGCATCTGGCACCTGCCGTCACGGTCTTGTCTTAAGAAGTCATGCGACCAAGTTGCGGGTGGGAGGGTGGGATGTTTGCACGAGCAGCGGAGAGGACAGCTTCAAGACGGTCAAAGTGAATTGCACAATATAGATTGCACCACAAATACTGTTCCACATGTAGTGCAAGCCACAGGTTGCGCACAACCTATATGGCACGACGTAGATTGCACCGCGCCCATCGCACCACACTTGTTGCGCAATCTGAAAAATACACCCGCGTGGCGCAACCCAATGATCGCAAAGAATTGTCAGTTCCACTGCTCGCGCAATCAACCCACACACCGACCCGCAACTGGGCTTGCAAAAACCATGCGAGGGCAAATGCGATGAGTCCTTGGCGTTGACTGGTGTTTCTGTGCGACCGCGCTAACCCGCGCACGCTCGCGCGCGCAGCGGCCAGCTATGACGGCGTGACCGACGCGGCCGCGGTGACGCCGACCGCTGGACACTTCCAGCGGGCCAGTCGGTGACTTGGGCGGGCGCGGTATCATGGCGACGCCGACAACGGTAGACACGATGACGGGAATGCCGATGATGGTGACGATGGTAGCGATGACGACGGCAAGGCCAATGACGGCGCCGATGTTGATCACGCCCGCCGGTAATGATAACGATGTCTTCGCGTCGGTGATGGAAGTTTTGGGGGAAGTTACACATGCGCGTGCGGCCAACGCGCGCGAGTAGCCCGCGTGGAATTATCTGGCACGGATAGCCGCCCTCCCCCCCCCCCGCAAGCACGCGCGCAAGGGCGTTCGGATGAGATCGACATGCGGCGCGACAGCCCGTTCGGCAGAAGTGGATGATAACACCAAAGAAGAATTCGCAAGAGCGCGCGCAGGGTTGTTTTGGAAAGCTGGCGTCGCAAAACAAAGTGTTTACATGCAATTTCGGGACACTCTTTTCTGACATCCCTACGAAATCGAAAGCGTGTTGCATGATCTCGGCATGCGCGCGCGACGGCGCGCGCGTGCGCACTTCGTCCCATGGTGTGCAAAGGATTACTGAGGCAGCACGCGCGCAAGGGCGTTCGAACGATTGTGACATGCGCGCGCGGGAAGAGCCCGTTTGGTAGCATGGTATGAAAAGTTGGGAACACGACCGTTGCCTTAAAGACCTGCAAGCCTCTGTCTGGAAATATGTGTTGCGAAACATGCGCGTGTGTGCTTACCTGTTTCCGTGTCCGATGATGTTGAAACCCCTGCGAAACCTACGGTTTCGGGCATGTGCGCGCGACGACGCGCGCGTGAACACTTCGTTCCGTCTGTTGCAAGATATGATTGAAAGCCTGGCATTTTTGTTTACCCATATGTATATAACGGGCGCGCTTAGCGTTTGTTTGCTTAGGATGAGGGAGGAACCGTTGCCGGTTTGGTTGGGGTGTTCGGGGTTCATATCTATGACGGACGATGGGGCACACTCGTGCGTAAAATACACTACGAGAAAGGGGGGCAGTTAAACCAGAGGACGATAGATCCGAATACTCTTTTGGAGATGGGAATCAACGTGGTACAATTTAGGCTACGCGTTCGATGGTGTGCATTCTATAGTGTCCCAAATGTGTCGTGTACTATATATATAATATGTGTACATGTGTATATATATATACATGTGCATATATATATATATATATATGTGGTGCCATCTGCAAGGAGCAGCCTCTGTGGTACAACCTACGCGGTGCAACTCACAAATGCTCGCAGCGAGTTGTCCATTCCACTGCTCGAGGAATCAACCCACACACCCACGCGCAATGCGGCTTGCAAAACCCATGCGACGGCGATTCCGATGAAAGCTTGGCGTTGGCTGGTGCATCTCTGCGGCCGCGCTAGCCCGCGCATGCTCGCGCGCGCAGCGGCCAGCTATGGCGGCGTGACCGACGCGGCCGCGGTGATGCCGACCGCTGGACACTTCCAGCGGGCCAGTCGGTGACTTGGGCGGGCGCGGTATTATGGCGACGCCGACAAGG